CTTCTGTTAGTTCAGGTTTTACAAAGAATTTGAAAGTTTGAAGCCAAGAAGATAAGAAAATCTGTCTCACGTTCTGTTTTTTCTCTTCTCTATCTCTCCATCTTTTCCTTCTCTGCAGATTTTTTCTTTTCTCCGTGCTTCTCCCTTTCATTTCCTCCTCTTTTGTCCTCAAACTCGTTCAGGAAGTCACACACATTCACATGCACACAACGCTAACACTGTAGAATCCACATACAGCTGGACTGTATAATGTGTTACAATGTGGACACAGTTATTCATCTTTTCTGTTCTTGTGACCCAAAATGATCTAAGAAACCTGTCTGTTACGTTCAAACTAGTGAAACCTTTTACATAGACTCTTTTCTCCAAGTACTGGAGCGCAGCCCTCCCCTGGCAGCCTTGCAGTGTTCTGCAGCCCCCTTAAGGTTTCCAGAGAGCTGGCCAATCAGAAGAAAGTGTTCACGTTGGGACCTCAAAGAGACAGCAGCTGAAACAAACCGTTTCAGGCAGAGGCTGAAATTAGGGTTTTTACTGATGCCGGTATCAGATCGATAAGATCATGTAAAGCTGCTAAAGGTTTCACACACTGACAACATGAAAAGTCAACATGAGGACAATATGGGAGCTGTGAATGTTTATCTCTGCAGGGTGACTGTCTCTCTGTCTGTCTTATCAAGACATCTATTCCTTCATTGTCCTCTAATCTCTCTCCTGATTTTATTCATTTCAGCTCAGATGTTTCATTTTTACTTCTCTCTCTCTCTCTCTCGCTCTCTCTCTCTCTCTCTCTTTCATTCCAACACAACTTCGTCCTCCCCGTTTCCTCACTCTTCCTCCCTGATGACATTCACACCACAGCAGAGTTCTCTCTCTCCTTCAGTAACAACACACTCAGATAGACTCGACCACATCTGCGGTTCCTCTGGGGTCGGTACCCGGTCCTCTTTATCTAGTCTTAGAGACACGGTTCAAAGCTGGAATCCTCTGGGCAAGAACGCGACACACGTGTTCTCACTTATAATAAGTCTTGTGTTAGAACCATGAATCAAAAAACTTGTTCTAAACGCTAACGACTTGTTCTGAAAACGATGACTTCACAACGTCAGATTTTCAAACACACCTCAAAGCTTTCTTGAATACGGCTGAAGACAATGTACATCAATCATCAGGAGATGACCAGAATGGTGGCAGTTTATCCTCTTTGGGAAAATAATTTATTCATCAGATTTCATGGCAATCCGTCCAGTAGTTCCATTGTTCCATTTCACCTACAAAATACAAATGCCAGCCTCATGGTGGCGCTAGAGGAAAAGACCCAGGGATCACCACAGTGAGACAGATTAACACTCTGGGGACCATGAATGGTTGCACGAAATTTCAGTCATATCCATCCAATAGTTGTTGAGATTTTTCAGTTTGGGTTAAACTGGTGGACAAACCAAAGTGACGGAGCAGTCCTTCAAAATAAGACACTTTCTGTGTTTTCTGTTTTCTTCCATATGTGTTTAATCTCTTAAAACTGTTCAAAACAAACCTTTAAATTATCTCTGGTGGATAAACTGTGTCATGAGTTTGTTTTAATAACTGTAAACATCTTCAGCGTGTCATAGTCTGTCTGTCATAACGACATCAGTTGAGTCATAAAGATAGTGTTTCATTACTCCTATTTGGGCGGTGCGTCAGTCATCCAGCTGTTGGTTGTGGTTACATATTGGTTGGATTGCTCCACATTGTTTCCTGATGATGTCTTACATAACGAGCAGAGGAAACTCTTTACTTGATCTTGTTCAGTATGTGTTTGGTGTGTTTTGTGGTGTTCATGGTTTAAATATGAGTCACACAAACGTCTGAACCACGTGGGAACGTCTTTGAGTTGAATTAAAGCTGGGTGTGATGGAGGAGGTGACGGAGCAACACTAACTGTTTTGTGTCTCTCACAAGACGATCAGAACATGTACTTTTATAAATGCTTCCTGTTTAGATTAAAACCAGAATAGATTTGATTTAATTCGACCGCTTTGGGCCTTAAAGTCTGGATCTGGATCCATTCGATCCAGTCCACTGAGACATTTCTTTGAACAAACCAAACTCTGATTTTCATGAACACAACGCAACATATAAGGTCAGAGGTTGTAATTGCTCCACAGCGGATAACGACGAGTCTCAGTTTGTCAGGAATAATCCTCACAGAAAAAACATAGAAAAACAAGAGACGGAAAAATATTACTTACCGAATACATCAGCTGGACAGAGCAGTGCATGATGGGACGCCATGAGCAGAGGGGGAGAAAAAAAACACAAGATGAACTTTGAACTGTTCACATATCTTCATACAGTCGTCATTATGTTCTTTCACGCCACTTAATCATCCCATTAAAGAAACCACGACGCCTTTCATTATCGCCCACTACCCTCAGAACATTCCTTTAAACTCAGAGTGTAGTTATACATCTTACTCAGGGAGGAATTATAAACGTTGACGCCCTCGTTAAGATTTGATTGTGTTGTGTTGTTGCGCAACGGAGCCACAGAGACTGTTCAGATCAAATGTCACGTTTCAAACCTTTCTTTGCTTTTTTCTGCAGCTTCAGAGTGTCCGAGGATCTCTTCTTGATCTCCTGACGAGCCTTCTTATACTCTGCAGGGAGACACACACACACACATGAAATACACACACACACACGCACACGCGCACACACACACACACACACACACACACACGCACACACACACGCACACACGCACACACACACGCACACACACACACACACGCACACACACACACACACACACACTCATTATTGAAATGGACGACACAGGCCAAGAAACAGACAGCTCCTTTAAAATGTTAAAAGTCTTTAAAGTTCACGTCTTCTACTGATCCCCGTTCTTAAACTCTCATATAGCGTTACAATGCTGGATGCTCTACCTAAACTTGGGCAAAGTTTCAGATCATGAGGTAATCATATGTTGGAGTAATCCCAGAATGAGTCTGCAGAGGGCGCTAAATGGCTTGTTCTGTGAATCACGCAATAGTTCCCCGAAATGAAACCAAGAATTTCACCAGAGACTTCAAGCCTCTACGTAAGCCACTAAAACTTCTTACATAGACTCTCTTCTCCCGAACCTGGAGAGCAGCCCTCCCCTGGCAGCCCTGCAGTGTTCTGCGCCCCCCAGGAAGGCTTCCAGAGAGCTGACCAATCAGGAAAGAGAGGGCATGTAGGGAGGGGGGCCTTAAAGAGACAGTACACCTACTGAAGATAATGTGGTCAGGGGTCGATTGTTTACACCTCAATCAGACCCAAACTGGACCAGACATTCTGAGCACGCTCCACAGTCCCTGTGTCCGGCTTTGACCGGGAAGTCGAGCAGAATAAAAGTGTAGAAGATGAAAAGGGATCAACATGGAGAGAGTCAAAGAGACAACCAGACGAGGAGAGACAGGACAGGTTGTGTCTTCGTACGAAACGTTCAGAGCTGATTGGTCGTCCATGTTTTCACCGTTCGACAAACAGTCTGCTGCTCGCCAACGTGTTTGTCGATTGTTTACTTTGTGACTTAACGGGTCAACAGGAAGAAGGTCCAAAAGTAACGAGCTGACAGAGAACATATCGTCCCCTAGTGTAGAGGAGTCAGACAAACTTGATTCTCCCTCACTGCTTACGGGGACAAGAATAGTAGAACAGTGAGAGGATACTGTAGCTCCACTGCACCATGCACGGACACACACTCAGCGTTTCTGTGTGTGTGTGTGTGTGTGTGTGTGTGTGTGTGTGTGTGTGTGTGTGTGTGTGTGTGTGTGTGTGTGTGTGTTTGAACCTTTGGCGTGGTCCTTGTCCAGAGTGTTGGCCACTCTCTTCCACTCCTCCATCTGCTCCTGGAGGGGGTTAATCAGACAGTCCAAAAACACCCTGAAAACACACACACACACACACACACACACACACACACACACACACACACACACACACACACACACACACACACACACTCACACTGTTAAAGAAGTCCTAATAACACAAGGGTAAAAACTCAGTTCAATAGTTTACTAAGAGGAGGAGGAAGGAGAGGAGGAGGTGGATCAGGACGTAAATGGAAATTTTCAGGAGGTAAAAACTGATGCACAGACATGGAGCAGATGGTAATGTTTTAAAGAATGCAGTAAAATATATGTAGACTCGATGATGGTTATAAGTTAAAAAATGAATGAGAAAACGATCAGGATGGTTTGTTTCTGCAATTAGTCAGTTTGAGAGCGTGATGGGAGAGAGATGAAGCAGGAGGAAGAGGAGGAGCAGGTTACCATGGAGAGCAGGGAGGAGATGCTACACCTGTTCAACACACACACACACACACACACACACACACACACACTCACAGATCGACTCACATGGAGAACTGGCGGAGCTTGGTCTCGATGCTGCGGTGCCTCATGCACATCCTGGTGAGGGCCGAGCCGATGTCTCTGGTTCCTCCTGAAACAAACACAGAGAGGACAAGCTGTCAGGAAATGTTCACGCTGAGCCTTCAAAATAAGACGCAGGAAAAGACCCCAAAAACTCAACCTATAAGAACACACAAAAAAAAGCTCATATTAGATTCGGTCTTAGATTCAGGAGTCTTCGTTCACTCACAGACGTAAACCAACTAGCCTACATCCAGCACTCAGGGCCTCTGTCCACCGCCAGGTTTTTTTACGGGCAGAGAGCGCTGGCTGTACGCTCAGGAGAGATTGGATGGAGCGTTTGTGCGCTGAGAATAAAAGAGCTGCATGTCTGTCCTGTGTCTATGACAACAGTCTGTTGTCCTATGACAGACACTGCACTGTTACTTTTTACTGTAGGCTTAGGTTTAATTGTTTTTTTCCCTTCACTGTGAGCATCAAATGGAGGATGTTTGTCCTCCTACTTTATCTGGATGAGCGCCTATCATGGCTCCGATCAGATAAAGAGCGAGGAGGATTCAGGAGGATTTCACAGCAAGCCTGTCCTGTGTGGACATTTTTCAGCAGTGCATGTGTGAGAAAAAGAGCTGTTGTAATGTGATGACCTCTCCACTGAATCAAACACTAAGGACAGAGGTCAGAGGTCGGATCAGAGCTCTACACTCTGAGTGTCTCTCCTGCTAGAGGACGCGCCGTCAGGGTGGAGCAGAGTCTGTTTGGGAGCAGCAGGAGCTCCACAGGCACCCGGAGGAGCCAGATGGTCGTCCCCTCTCTCCCCCAGACAGGACTCTCCCTCCTGGGGTAAAGATCAGCCGACCTCAGCCTGTCAGCCTGGAGCTCCAACAACCAACTCACACTCTCACTCACACACAAGTTATAATGTTTGAAGAAAAACACAATCTGTTTGTTTTTACTTTGACAGAAAGACATGAAAAATGACTTCTCTGTTTCTTAAAAGTTGTTTACTTGTTGTGAGCGTTCTCTTCAGGACGAGGAGTGTATGAAGACGATGGATCCCTTGTGTACAATATACGTATGTGTGCGTGTGTGTGTGCATGTTAGCGTGTGTGTTTGTGTGTGCGTTTGTGTGTCCGGGGTGGGGTAGTGAGCACTGCATTGCAGCACTGACACCTCAGTCTCTCCTCCGCTCCTCCCTTACTCTCCTCCTCTTCTCTCCTCTCTCCTCCCCTCTCTCTCTGCACACTGACTCCTCCTCCGCTCAGACTGTATTTAAGAATGATTTCACGTGATTATAATGAGCATGCTTCCAGGATTTTTAGTTATAGTTTAGTTTTTAGTTATAGTTATAATTATATGATATAATTATGATGACAAAGTGAAAACCATCTGCAGAGATTTTTAAATCTTTTTAAACATTTTGTTGGAGTTGAGAAAAATAAAGTTATTTTTGTGATTAAATTGAACACACATAAACCAAGAACCAGAGGACTTTTCACTCCTCTAGATCGTTTGCTCTGGTCTGAATCATTGACCTGTTTGTTCCATTTCTGCATAACTACCTCCAGTTTGGTCTGTGTTCACACGAGGACATTTACAAGAGGAGCTAAATGCGAGGAAACTGCTCTCTGATTGGTCAGAATTTCTTGTGGTACTCCCTGAAGTAAACAAAGACTATCTGCCTCCTGATTGGCTGTGGCTGCTCCAAAAACTCTTTACAGTTTCTAATTGGACAGACGAGGACACGGACTGATGTCGGCTCTGCTCATCAGTTTTTATATTGTTTGTATGTATCACTGAAGGTAAACGAGACAGTTTGAAAATAATATGTTGATGTTGTTGACTGTTCAGGAGAAGGACCTCGTTAATCCTCCTGAACCAGGACCTGCTCATCCACCTAAACTGCCTCTGAATCTCCAGGTCTGCCTAGGGTCTTTAACGCATGTTCAGTAGACTCATGTGGTCCTCTTTACTCCACTCATGACCTCCTTTTCGTTTCACTCCTCCTTCACACCGCCACTCCCTTCCTCGTCACACATCTTCATCATCCTCTCTCTCCTCCTCTTCTCTCTTTCTCCCACCCTGATGTACTTGACCCTGATCTCCTTTCTCAACTCATCTCCTCCTCTCCTCTCTTCTCACCTCGTCTCCTCTCACCTTGTCTCCTCGTCTCATCTCAACTCGTCTTCTCACCTAGTCTCCTCTCACCTTGTCTCCTCCTCTCATCTCACCTCCTCTCCTCTCTTCACACCTCATCTCCTCCTCTCCCCTCTTCTCACCTCGTCTCCTTTCACCTTGTCTCTTCCTCTTTTTTCACCTCATCTCCTCCTCTCCTCTCTTCTCACCTCGTCTCCTCCTCTCTGTGCGCTCCCAGAGCATCGTTTCTATGAGGAACGTCAGCACTGTGCAGTTCTACAGGCTGATGTTTGTCAGAAACAAAAGTAACAGGAGTTTTGAAGTGAACCAATCAGCTCATGAGTTCAGCGACATGTGTAAAGAATAACTTTTTTAATCTGGTGCTACGATATGTAGAGGTTGTTTTTATCAGCAGGCTGGTTGAGTTCCTGTACGGTCACAGCCAGTCTATTAGTTCCTGCTCGATTCAACCGATTGACCCGACTTCTAATGCAGTGTGTGTGTCTGTGTGTGTGTGTGTGTTTGTTTAATGATTGGCATTGAGACCCAGTTGACCCAGTTGACAGGCACAGAGCAGCGTCTCTGTCTGACCTGCAGCCGTCTCTCTGTGATCAGGCTGCAGCTGCAGACTGAAGCGCCTCCGGGCTGCATGAGAGAGAAAACAGGACCCATCACACAGAATCCGACCAGCCTCCATCGTCATGACAAAATGCACCCACAGACTTACAGTCAGCCTCCGTTGTCATGACACCGTGCACACACACTTACAGTCAGCCTCTGTCGTCATGACACCGTGCACACAGACTTACAGTCAGCCTCTGGTGTCATGACACCGTGCACACAGACTTACAGTCAGCCTCTGTTGTCATGACGCCGTGCACACACACTTACAGTCAGCCTCTGTTGTCATGACACCGTGCACACAGACTTACAGCCTCTGACTGAGTGTAACCTTAATTTAAAACGCACACAGAGTTTCCTGACCGACTTTTCCAGCTCGAGATCCTCAGAGAGAGCGGAGCGCACACATCACGTGAGAACAGAGGATGGGGTCGGCCTCAGTGTGCAGAAACAGAACTGACCTGGAACTCAAACACGTCTCAATCCATCCAACGGGACGTGACCTCAACCACCACACCCCCACAGGATGGACACGCAAGCAGGCACACACACAGACAGACCCACTCACACACACACACACACACACACACACACTCACACACACTCAAAAACACACACACACACACATACACAGACACACACACACACACACACACACACTCAAAAACACACAAACACACAGACACACTCTCTCTCACACAGACACACACAGACACACTCACACACACACACACACACACACACACACACACACACACACACACAGACACACTCACTCACACACACACACACACAAACTCTTACACAGGCGAATGCTCTTCCTGTGAAGACTTTTTGAGTCTTCATTTGAAGGCACAGACTGAAATTGCCTCATGAAGAAGTGAGCCCTGCGTGAACTGTAAAGAACAAACTGAGAGCAGAAAACAAAATGCAGCAGTTTAGTAACATTCACGGAGGTCGTAGCGGAGGCGTGCAGACCTTGTTTGTGCATTTGTGAAAAGGGGCTTAAGTTACCTTTGACCTTTTTCTTTTTTTGACCGCCAGACTCTTTACGAGATGTACTCAGTGCTTCCTCCTACAGCTCATGTTTATGTGTCACAATAACAACAGAATTTTTTTTAATCCGCCCCAGCATGGTGATGATAGGACTCGGGGTCGCATGGTGGTGATAGGACTCGGGGTCGCATGGTGATGATAGGACTCGGGGTCGCATGGTGGTGATAGGACTCGGGGTCGCACGGTGGTGATAGGACTCGGGGTCGCATGGTGGTGATAGGACTCGGGCTCGCAGGTCGGCGGTCTTCAAAATGAATCGTGAAACTTCTGAAGAGATGCTGGGGGTCAAATTAATGTTGGGTGGAAGTGTTACACATCTTAAGAACATGAATGATATCTATAAATAAATATAGTGGTGGGGTCGTTAGAGCGTTCTGATTGGCTGACAGGTGTTGTTATTGTTGTTGTGGTCCGTCTCAGTGGGAAAAAAGCATCACTTTAACAAACTAAATTAACATCAAATATTTGTCCAAGTTCCCCAGAAATATAAACTCATGATGTCACACTGAGCTGCATTCTGATTGGCTGAACCGAAGGCTGAAAAAAACAATAAGCTGATAGATTCTGTAGTGTTTCCTGCTCGTTGCATCAGTCAGTCTCTCTCTCCCTCTCTCTCTCTCTCCCTCCTCTCCCTCACTCTCTCGCTCCCTCCCTCCTCCCTCTCCCTCTCTCGCTCTCTGTGCATGAAACCAAGGTCACTCTACCTCTTCAACGCGTCTCTCATGTCAACATGCCACGGCATCAATCTCTCTAATGTACCGACACCAAATCCAAAGATGCAGAGGGTCAGCGTCTCGTTAAAAGGTCACGCAGAGCTGAACGGGGGCGGGGCAGAGGAGCACATCAGTTACAACACAGAGACAGATATTTTTTTGCATCTCGAAAACTGTAATATAGATGATTACTAGAGTGAAGTTCACTGATCTAAAAACACAGACACCTCATCACATATCAGGCTGTGATTTGATTTCTTTAAATCTGAATATACGCATGTGAAAATGGCGAGCAGGATTGCAACAGCGAGCATTTCCCGCCTCATGCTGCAGATGCTTTCATGCACTCCGTGATTTATTTCACAAGCAGCCCTGACATCTCTGTTGATGATAAACAACAGAGCAAATGAATCTGAGACCGTAAGCCAATAAGGTCGCACCATGGTCATGTTTTAAAACGTTAAATGTGTAATGTTTACGTTTGACTTTAAACTCACTCCTCAGTGGCTCAGTGACCTCGTGGTTACACTTAGATGGTAAGATCCAT